TGGGAGGGAGGCTGCAGGGAGCAGGTATTGATGCACAGAAAAAAGCTTTTAATTGTCCAAGATTTGGGGATAAAAATGCAAACAACTCAGAATAACAAAAAATAAATAAGTAAATGCAAACAAATATTCTGAAGCAGTGCCCCCCCTCAAATCTGCTGCCCTAGCCTAGCCTAGCCTAGTTCACTCTTCTTCGTTGCACGTTCATGGAGCAATGATGTCGACTTTCATCAGAGAGGACAAACTTTTTAGTCAGGCAGCACTTTAGTTTAGTCATTTGCTTTCACAAATCCTCTGAGCCTTAGGTAAATGCTTTAGAAAAACCTGAATATACATGGTTAAAGAGACACTCTAATGACAAAAAACACATGGAGAGACAAAATATGCTACACAACAGTTAGGTGCAAACTGTACAGGCGCTCCCTAATATGCCTAAATAAATCAATATATACAAGATGCACACTATAACAGCCACAATTAATAGTACAAATCTTTTATTTGAACAACTAAAACAATCAATACATAAAAAGACAAAGCAACAAAAAGGCAAACAGTAAACCTCACAGTAATTACCTAAGTTTCATAAGCCTTAAGACAAACACAAGCCATCAATCCACCCCAAGGTTTCGGCACCTACTGGCTGCCTTTATCAAGGGTGTCTGCACCTGTGTCCTCCTGTGTCTGCTTATAACAACCCTAAACAGCTGATGGCCATCACCATTCAGATATAGCCGATACCGGCTGTAATCCTTCAATCCTAGGGTTCCGCGGAACACCAATTGGGAAACACTGTTATAAATTAACCTGGCTGTCAATAGGAAAACCGGTCCTGTTACTTCCTAATACTTCTAAGAGACAGGTAATTGTCCAGAGCACCTGCCTTGCAAATACTTCTCCTTGAACTCCATTGGGAAGTCTGTGATTGGACAGCCACGGAACGTCTGGGGGGATTATTTGCAAAGGCAGCAGACAAGAGATCTACAGGTGTTGTAGATATAACTCCAATGAAAAAAAACCCACAATTAAATGCATGCATGTTTTCATTGCTGCTATATCTACTAAACAGAGATTTTTATTTATTTGGTCAGTGGGGTGTCCCTGCCTGAGGTCATCCAGCATCAGATTTGTTCCCCACATTAAGCATTGATTCAGTGCTTTCCTATGGGGAGGTCTAGTGTGCGTGGCGCCCCCTCATTGCGGCGCAACAGAGGAGGCGGAGCCGGAACCCGGCACCAATTGACATTGGAGCTCAGATAAGGCAAGTAAATAAAGGGTTTTAAACCCTTTATTGATCACTGTGGAGGGAGGAAGGGGGAATAAGGACATTGTGTCAAGAACAAAAGTGAGTAATAGGGAAAAAAATGATTGATGTCAAGGGGGCAGCCACTAAATGTTGATTTTATTCACAGATCAAATGAGTTACCTCTATTGGTTACTTCTTCTTTCTTGATCAGCTAACCAGAAAATGCACCTATCTGTGTACTTCTAAATATCTATATAGTGTTTACTATAATTATTATTATTATTATTAAGATATATAAAGCACCAACATGATCTGCCTGCAACACTGTACAATTGCAGAAGACAGAACAATATACACAGATAAATACAAAAGGTAGAAGCCCTGCCCTTGAGCTGAGATCTGGTCACTGAAACTCTTTATAATATCCAGTTCACGTATTGGATAATTTTCATGCCATTTTGGTTTATCTGATTCATATTCGAATATTTGAAATTCGGAGGAGCTGAAGCGCCATATGACTGAAATTCCACCACTATTTTCAAAGTGGTTCGGCCATGCACAAGTCTACTTGGCACATTCCACGTCAACCTACATCAGGCACATATCCAAACCCCACGACATCATCTCCAATTTCCTGATGCTATAGCATTAGTTCTACAGATTTGATCTCATTCTCATGGTTCTTATGCATCATTGATATAAAAACTGTTATTTCACCTATAAAGTGCTTATTTGTCGTAGCACTATTTCCAGATTGTTTTCCATGTGATTTCTTTTATTCTATTCCCTTACATAAATCTCTAATTCTAGACTATTTACATTTTCAGCTACGAATCTACACTGCCTGCCCTAACCTTGGAACTCTTGTCTATATTTATCATTTTTTACACAGCCCCTGTACTGCTATGCACTGTCTAGGAGGATTGGTCTCATTTTAAGCCTCTATACACACTGTTCCAAATGTACAAGTGCTCATTTTGCTGCTCATTTGCTCCAACTACAAAAGATATCTGAGAATCACATATTCAGACAAAGGCACTCCTCTCCCAAATCAGGACAGTTTGCAGCTATTATAAATAATGCGCCCATGATACTTAACGTAGGTTAAAAAAAGCTTTAGGGAGAATATAGCAAGATGGGAGGTGGTGCTACTTGAACTCCTTGATGGTGGTCAATGTAGGTTGATTCTGAGTTACCAGTTATCTTTCCTGTTAACGTCATAGTAGATGTTTATCCTTGCTCATTGAAGTTGCTAAGAAGATCAACACTAATACAGGAGCCAGTAAGCATTTTTAGCGGCCAAGAAAACAAAGCATTTTGGACCCATTTCTGCAGTCCTTTGGTAAAATTTGTATGTTTACACCAACATCGAATGTGCTGTAAAAATAGCTTGTTTATGTTTCTGATGTTGTGTAGGAGTGAATGGCCTGTAATCAGCGATAAGTTATTTGCTTGCTACAATTTCCTGCTCTACGTTACATAACGTTGCAAGAAATGAGTTTCCCAGATTGATTTTTTTTTTCTAACATGTAAAACCCCATGTTTCTTAATACATATTTTCATTTGTACGAAGGGGCAATCACCCTTACGGTACCTTCTGACAATCACCAAGAAGAATATTCTCTGAAATCACACAGTGAATAATTTATCTATCTGGCTGCTGCTGTAATAATGCCAGATTCTAGCGCTCGCAGCTCACGCCCCATCCCCCCTTCTCATCCACCTTTTTTTTTTTTATAGATTCTAAGATTTTACTAAACCCAGCATTAAACAACTCAATGACAGTTTACTATGTAAATATAAAGTGAAAAGAAAACCATTTCATGGGTTGACTTCAACTTACCAAGAATGAACGGGAGAACAGCACTTACTACTACTGCATGGAATTATTCACTAAAGGGAGAATTCAAAGTAAATTTCAAAATAGACAAACTTTAAAAAAATCTCTAATTCAGCTATGCTTTCAGTTTGGCTAATCTGGCCTCAAAGGGATTCTCCAGTGCGAGGAAAACAAACCTGCCCCCCTCCTGCCCCACATCCCACGTCGCTGAAGAGGTTAAAACCCCTGCAGACACTTACCTGAATCCAGCGCCGATGTCCCTGGGTCAGGCTCCGTCCACGCTCCTCCCCCGCCAACGTCCGCCAGTGGGGGGAGAGCTAATGTGCATGTGCGGCATCCGGCAACACCTCACCATAGGAAAGCATTATTTTCCTATGGGGATTCTGGTGAAGCTGGAAGTCCTCATGCATAGCGTGAGTACGTCCAACATTGTTTAGATGACCAAAAATCGTCTAAGAAGCCGGAAAATTATCTAATAAGGTAAAATTTATACTTTAAAAAAATTTTTAAAACCTTTTTCATCTCTTAAGGAATTTTAAATCCTATAATTAATCTTTGCATTCTTTTTATAGATAGCTTCTCACTCTGCCTCAAGATCTTTATTTAGAAAACATAGGTGAGCCTCAATAATTAATATATATTCGGGGGGTAAAAGAGTGCCACTATGGGCCCATAATATATTATTTTATTGGACTCTTACAGCCCAAGCAATCCACGAGAGGATTCTCCAAGAAAATACAAATATAAATCCAATAGACGCGTAAACTGCAATTTTATCACATGACAGGAGGCTTCGTATTTTGCATAATCTTTCTTTACTAACTCCATAGCAGCAAAGAAAAGAGTGACAAAACTGAGAACCAATCACAATGCAGTATAGAGTATAAGAGGTGTAACACATGACATAATTTCCTCTTTCTTTGCTGCTCCATCACAAGCTAAGTACAACATTTAGTTTCTCATTACTCAGCTCATATATATTTTACATTGTCATTATTTTACATAGCTGTGACTTTGTATATTTACCTACACTTATTCCTATTTATATATATTTAACTATTGACCCCATTTCCGGGGGGCTAACCCCTCCCCCCAGAGGTCTGCCCCCTTGTCCCCCTATTTTCTACCCTGGGACCTTGCCTCTGGCTTCCCAGGTACATTCCACGGCTCCCCGCCGTCCATACCCCTCCTCCATACCCCTTCACGTTTTTTTTCCTGTGCGCTCGCGCACAGACGTTTCGTTTTTTCAACCGAACGTTTCTCGTTCGGCAGTTTGGCACGATCGCCTTTTTCTCGCGAACGCCTGTGTTTTTTTCTGTGCGTTCGTACAGACGATTCTTTTTTTCTACCGAATGCTTCCTTTCGGCAGTTTGGCGCGAGCGCCTAAAAAGGCCAATATTACTAGGCGCACGTTCGGCTGTTTTATCACACGAACGCCAGGCGTCTAATTTTGCCGCCCAAACTGGGGGAGGTGCTATCTTCCCCATAGTAACGGCTGTTAGTCCGGCGACCATCTTAAAGGGATAAGCACTGTCAGCTACCTGCTCCAGCTATCAACTGCAAGCAACAGGAAATCTTTATTACATCCTGCCTCTTCACTCAGTGGGACCAAGTCAGGTTAGTGCCTAGCACTTGGGGTTGGTTTAAGCCAGTTGGACTGTACCTTGGCTGTACTCTGGCCGGGGTGAGCCCCCATTTTGTGCTGCTAAGCGGGCCTGTTCATGCAGTATTCCGATTACCTGGGTGAGCCCCAGTGACACAGCCCTCTCATTATCACTACTACGGCCTACCGGTCCCTAGTCTCTCAGGTTAACCATTACCGATACTATACCACCCCTGGTCCCCAGGCCTCTCCACTAATTGTGCCTAAGTGCCCTCACGCAAATCTATCGGGTGAGCCCCAAATACCTATTCCAAATCATGGAGGAATCACAAACCTCCTCAGACCTCCAGGCCATGATCACAGCAGCTGTGGCTGTAACTATGGAAAAGGCCTCTTCTAAGTCGCTCCTGGCAGATCTAGACACCCCTAAACCCTTCTCTAAACGGGTTCACTATAGAGCGGACTCCGAAGACTCTGACTCCTCCAGAGAATGCTCCCATCGGCCTAAACGCCTTTGGAAGGGCGAGGCCGCTGCGCCACACAAATCTAAGGGTAAAGACGCAGAACCCACACATGCACTAGCTGTGCTGGATGAATGGCAGGTGGCGGTAAAAGACAATCACCTCAAACAGATTTAAAGAAGTGGATTACAGAGGCAATAGCAGCAGGGTTCAAGTCCAGGAATGGCAGAAACCTGAGAGAAAAGTAACTCTTAAAAATAAAGCATTTAGATTATATCCCTATTCGAATGATGATTGCAAATCATGGAACTCTGTCCCTAAGACTGACGCAGCAGTTATCCATATGTCTATAAAGACCACTCTACCTATTGACTCCATGGCTTATATGAGGGAGCCTGTAACGGAAACGCTGGCACCCCGACCGGGTACCTTCCGCCGACGGATGCTCCTAGTGCTTTCCGAGGACTCCAAGCACTCTGCCTGACACCATAACCACTGCAGACCCCACGAACCGCCGCAGCTTGGTTGGGGTCTCGCCGTCTCCACCCACTCTGGACCCAGGACCAGGGTCCAGCTTCCAGCAGGTCGACCTCTCTCCGAATTCCAGAGAGCAGGAACAGGAACAAGCTCTTAGCAGAGCTTAGTGATTATACCCTGGGGAGTATAGTGATTATAGCAATCCCCAGAGTGTAGTTTCTCCAATCCCCCAAACATGAGCCGAAACTTCATGAAGGTACAAGATGATCTGACTCCAATGAGCGTTTATTACTCCTTATATACAAGTTTTCAGGTCAGAGGCACACCCCCTGGACCTGGTGGTAAACTGTGACAAAAGGGACACAAACCAATGGGAACACTAATTAACATGATAACACTCTCACATACACAATGAAATCCCTCCTCTCCATCCTGGAGATAATTGGCTTAAGGCACTGCAGTAAACTCAATTATCTCCAGGTACAGAAAATATCTACATTTAACACTAACAGCAAAATACGTAAAAGTACATAAAAATACATAATTCTTATTTTATTACACAGAACCCCCACATTTAACCTATCCTCAGATAGCTCGGATCTGAGCGCCCAATCTAGGTGAACAGCGCTCAGATCCCATGAACAGAGTAGATTTTCCATGGGGTAAAGCATAGCAAGGGCTGTTGAGAAACCAAGGAGGGACAAAAGCAGTCAGTTCCAACTGGTTTGGAAGTGTGCCTGGGACAATGCCCTGCTGGGGAACAATAGACAGGAAATGGGGGAGGGGAAGAAACACACCTTCCCATGGATTCAAATGGGAAGAAACTGTCTTTAGAAGCCAATAAGCCCCAAATAGTCTTTTTAAATGGCAATACACCCCAGGGCCATAGTCATGAGGAAGGAGGCTGGCAATCAGGCTCCTCCAAAAGCCGGGGACAAAGGGCAGCTTGTCACCTAACAATCCAGGGACAAAAGGCATTTCGTCACAGAGCCCATGGAAAAAAGACTGGATGCAAATCTTATCAAGTCATACCTAGCATTAGGATCTGCACTACATCCCGCAGTTGCCTCCAAGAAAATGTGACGAGGTTCAGTTCGTCACATTTCTTTCACCCCCAAGGTAGGACTAACCAGGTACCTGGCCTTCTGTCGGTCGGTACCTGAGTTAGTCGAGTAGCCCACCATAAACAAGTACTGGACCTGGTGACTTCTGTTGTTCAGCTCTGTCCTGTATGTCCCAGGTTGCTGAGTGGGTGTCCGTCATCCACGATCTCTCTTGTGCTCCCCGGCAGGGAGTTGGGGGTACTTGGTGGGCAGAGGCCAGCGTTACAGCTTTGTAGTACAGTGGGTCGTCTGGCCCCAAACCACATGGGCAGGTAGGGCAGAAGCCAGCTGCGCTCTGCCCTGATGCATGCTCCGCTGCTGGGATGGCCTGAGGTAATTCAGGCCCTGGACAAAGAAAAAGGGGCAGGCAGAAGCCAACTGCTCTCTGCCCGGGTGCCAACTCTTCCGTTGGGAAGATGTCCAAAAGTCTCCAAAAATGCCCAAGGAGTCAGGGTTAACAGTCGTTCTCTCTGTCTGGAGTACAAAAGTACATGAACAGAGCCTTTTCAAGTGCATTAGGCAAGGTATACTGCAGGGCCCACACGTGACGGGGCCCCTCCAAGAACACGTGACGAGGTTCAGTTTGTCACAACATGTGTTCGATAAAGGTCATCTGTCTTGGGCCACCTTTTCTATGAGTTAAGTATTGCTGGGCATGAAGTCCTCAGTATGTGCCTCTGATTTTTAGGAATCCAAATATAGAATTGAAGAAGGTCCATGCCAGTCATTAGAGATTCTATGTCCACCCATCTTCTTTTGTCTGGTGGTGAGTGCCAGTGAGTAATTTGGGTCAACTAGTACACATATAGGTTTGGTAAGCCCAGTCCCCCCTCCCCCCGTGTTTTAGGTCTGTATAAGAGGCTGCAGGCCAGTCAGGGCGTTTATTTTGCCAGATGAATGTGTCAATTGCCTTTTGCATCCCTACTAAATCTCCCTTGGTTACCCCCACTGGCAAGGACTGGAACAGGAAGAGTAGTCTCTGTAATACATTCATCTTAATGGTATGAATGCGCCCCATCCATGATATCGGCTTATCCGTCCACTGCTCCAGCTCCCTGGTAAGGGTGTGGCCTGTGTTCTGCAGGGGGCCCTGCACACTAGAAATATAATTCCCAACTGCTCTGCTCTGTCTAAGTCTCGCGAGCGCCGCGATAGTCAGAGTGTTGCCAGGGGTTACCATGGCAACACGCTGTGTGGCTCGCAAGACCTAGACAGAGCAGAGCAGTTGGGAAGTATATTTAGAGTGTTCTGGGCCCCCTGCAGAATACAGATAGCAGGGGGCCCGCACCATGCCGCCGGACCACCAGGCAATGTGATCTCCCCCCTCCCTGATGCAGGGAGGGGGGAATAAAATTACATTTATTACAATTAACGGAAGAAAAAAAAATGACTGTAGTCTCCCCCCCCCACATTATACAGCCCCACACATTTACACACATTTTACACTATTCTACAACATTTACACACACTACATCCTTACACAAACACACACTATATAGTCACTCCCAGGGGGCTTAGACCTTGAGCTGTTTCGGGGGTCCCAGAATTTCTGATGGCAGCCCTGTGTAGTTATACAATACGTCTCTCATAATGTTCTTTATTGGATGTTACACTATATCTGTTTGTATCTGCTTGTACACTATAATAGTTTTAGCCAGATTAATCAGTTCACATTTCTCTTTCTCCTAATGTGATGTAGGGACGTTGATCTGGACTCACATGACCAGCGTTACGGATTCCGTTCTTCGATTCATCTGTTTATCATCATTTGCTCAGTTGCTGTTCTGGACTGGCTTGTTTCCTAATGTTTTTGCATGCATGTTTATTGTTCTTGATTTTTATCCTCAATTGCTTACATACACATGGCCTCGACTTTTGATGTTTGCTGATAAATTGTCAACTTGCTTTAATTGTTTTCCTTTTTGACTCTTTCACAACAAAGAAAAAGAAGGTGTCTTTCCCTACACAACCTGTTATCAGTGTCTCTTTATTTTCATTGGTTGTTTGGTTTTACTGTTTTGCTGCTAACGAAAGTAGGCAAATATTTGCCTCGTGTCATTATTAGAACTAAAATAATTTCTTGACCTAAACTAGAATAATTTACAATTATGATGGGCTGAGAGGGGCAACTACGCCTTGAGATATTTTTTTCTACTACATTTTATAAGGATATTTTTTTCATGACTTTCTCTTTTTCATCTCAATGAATGTTTTTTTTCTCCTCTCCTTGAATGTTGTGAATACTGAAAATAACAAAAAATAAATGTTAAAAAAATCACAAAATTAAATTATATTTATATTTAGCGTGCTCTCACTTTCTGTGGAGTTGCAATGGTAACACCTTTTACAGTATAATACAGACTGCTCCATCTTCAAATAAGGATTAAAAGAACACACATTATCCAAACTGTTTTCCACACTATTCCCTAGTGGGTCTTCCTCTCAGAGCTGGTTTGTTACAGCTCAATGAAATGTTTATAGTTCCGTTTTCCTGTCTGGAACTGGCATTTGAATCCCATTGCTGGCCTCCACATGACTCCTGAACTTTCTCATTACAAAGACTGGCAGAGTATTGCCGTGCAGGTTTCCTGCCAGTGAAATAACAGCACGGTCGACAAAAGCACCCAGGGGAGGCATGCACAGACAAACTGATTAAATTCGAGGGTTCCTTTCACTGTTTGGGGATTCTGTAACCATGCGTTAATATTTATTTGCGTTAATATTTATATTTATATTTTATTACATTTGTATACATGCACTGTTTTGTGCACCATGTGTAAATCTGTGTATACTATTGCTTTTTTGCTAACTATTGGTATTGGCATATGGTAATTGTTTTGGTACTTTTTGATTAATGTTATTTATTTATTTCAGATTCTCATGATGGACGCAAGGGCATAAGGCAGTTGCCCCTTCTTGCTCCCCCTAACTAATATTCCTGAGTGTGATGTGTGTGGTGGTAGAGTGTGATTGTGTGGTGGTTGGCTGAGTGTGATTCTGTGTGGAGATTGGCTGAGTGTGATTGTGTTGGTTGGCTGTGATTTTGTGTATGTGTGTGGCTGGCTGACTGTGATTGTGTGAGGCTGTCTGAGTGTGTTTATGAGAACTTGTCTGAGTGTGATTGCATAGAGTTTGGCTGCGTGTGAGTGTGGCGTGGTTGGCCCTACTAGGGTACAGTAACTAATTAGGGCAATCCCCTGTGCTGATGCTAACATGCTTGGTTCATTACTAGCACATTGGCGTCAGTGCATCCCATACTCTTTCAGCAAGCATGAGAACGCCTGCTGGGTGAGTAACACAGTGACAGGGAGCGAGAGAGCAGCCTGTCACTCCTGTCACTCATTCTATGGCATTAGACTCTCTGTACCAGTGCCTAATGTTGAAGATTTTATTGGCAGGTGTGGGAGGACCATATTTTTAAAGAGCTTTAAATTGAAAACTATGCATTTGCTAGCATTTCTGTTACAACAATGTGCAGATGGAATTTAATCTCTTTAATAAACACTTATTTTACACTTTAATATAATACACATTTTCAATAATACATGCACGTGTATTTTATAAATATATTATATATATATATATATATATATATAT